GGGGTATGTTTTTGCAAAATTTTAATAGAGTGATACGTTTGTTAACTTGCCAAAGTAGAGAGGTAGAAAATGCTATTAACCCTTCTATTTTCATTATCAAGCTTTATAATTGCTCGAAAAATCTTTTATTTCTCCTATTATTTATAATTACATTTTTAGTTCAAATTAGTCTTTGTTAGCTCCTTAATCACTACGTTATTTTACTAAAGGTAAGATAGCTTAACGGTAAAGCTGCCGCGACGGTGAAGACTTGAGAGGTGCAGATCCCAGGTTCGAATCTAGGCGAGGCTCGTTGGTGTTCCCGGAAGTACAAGGCTGCTGGGAGCAAAGCCCCGTTGGCGTCCAATTTGATGGCAGGTGCCCCCAAAATTTAGTAGGAACCGCTATCACAAAGTGGCAAGTGGGGCTGAGGTTCCTGGGTAATAATAAAAAAATCATTACGTTATTTTTCGCTAGATGAGGATATTCAATTTTTAATAATTTAATTCTTTCTTATTTATAATGTCACTTTTATAATTGCTTATTTACTTAAATTGGTTTTTAATCTCTCGAGTTGAGTTATTTCCTTTTATTTTAAAACTAAACTAAAAAGCAATCTCTCGATCTTCCGATGAAGCTTTACTTCTCCAAGTTTTATCATACCATTGGCGTGAGAATTCAGTTATTCCGACTATACCGTAAGGGTAGGTTTTAAACTCTTAGGATAGATATTTCTATCACCAAATTGATTTTTTTTCCCCCGTTGTTTTGCAGGGGAATCATAAATTCATTTCAATGGTCTTTTGAATATGAATCAACCTCACTCAATCGCAGGGCTATCTTGGAGATGTTTTTTTATTTCATTTTGTGTCAATATCGTGTCCTTTGCTCGTCGGAGCTTTTCTAAAGTTGTCCGTGTAGTGGCAGAAAAGACTCTTTCATCGGTAGTTCTGTTGCTTACGGACTACCGTGTTTGGTCATTGTCGTTTTGTAATTTGTTTTTGTTGGTTCGAGCCTTCTTGACATATCTTGGACAAAAAAATACCTACACACCAGTTATAATTATTCAATTCATCCTTAATTCCTTATTGTCATCTATCAGCAATTGAATCAGTGGCAAATTAACTTGTAGCAAACAATGATCATTGTCTGTTTCATCTCTTGCCTAAATTATTTTTATCAACTCCCAAGCAATTTATCATTGTTTTTAAAAAATAACGAAGATTGCCAAGATTCTTCATCTCAAAGGTTGAGCTAAGAAGTTGTTGGAGATGGGAAATGCCCTGGAGATCATCCCCTGTAATAACCATATCATCCTTATACAACAGGAGAAGAATAATGCCACGAGAAGTGCGGCGAATAAAAAGAGCAGAGTCATAGGCACTGGAGGTAAAACCCGATACTGCATAATGTTGGTGAATTTGGAATACCATGCTCGAGGGGACTGTTTTAGACTGTATAGCGCATGTCGTAGTCGGCAAACCTTGTTGGGAGGACAAGAATATCCAGGAGGAGGCTTCATATAAACTTCCTCTTGTAAGTCACCATTTAAAAGTGCATTTTTGACATCCATCTGGAATAACTTCCAACGGCCAACGGCAGCAACAGCTAGTAAAGTTCTGAAGGATGTTAGACGAGCCACAGGAGCAAATGTTTCTTCATAATCAATCCCATATTCTTGAGTGAAACCTTTTGCCACTAAACGCGCTTTGTAACGTTCAATAGATCCATCAGCATTGGTCTTGATTTTGTACACTCATTTGCAGCCAACAAGAGTTTTACCTGGAGGTAGACAAACTAAATCCCAAGTGTGAGTTTTCTCAAGTGCCTCCAACTCGTCTGTCATTGCCTTTTGCCAAAGAGGGTCAATACTAGCTTCTTTATAAGAAGACGGCTCATGAAGAGAGGTTAAATAACAAAAATAATCATTCAAACGAGTATTGGGAAGGCGATTGCGAATAGGGCGAGAAGAAGAAGTACCTGGAGCGACTAGATCAGCAGGCGAGACATTATTAGGAGCAACCGTATTGGGAGAAGCATTATCTGCAATCGAAGTTTCTATGGAGGACTCAGGGCTCGATGCTGATGATGAATCAACTTCTGGGAAGAGATCTATAGATGGATCACAAAAAAAAAGGGGTGGTTGTACGAAATGGAGACAAACTGGAAAACATAGTGTTTTCCCAAAAAACAACATGACGTGATATTCTCAAGCGATTGGAAATAGGATCCCAACATTGATACCCTTTATGCTCAATCCCATAATCAATGAAACAACAAAGACGAGCACGAGGCTCAAGTTTACTACGTTCATGAGAAGGTAAAAGAACAAAACAGGCACAACCAAAAATTTTAAGATGAGTGTATGTAGGAGGGGTACCATATAGGCGTTCAAAAGGGGAGACAGAGTTCACGACGGTGGAGGGAGTGTGATTTTGAAGGTAAACAGAAGTGAGGGCTGCTTCTCCCCAAAAAGATTCAGGACAAGATGATGAAATTGGTAGGGTGCGGACAAAGTTTAAGATTGAGCGATGTTTCCTTTCCGCTCGACCATTTTGTTGTGAGGTATTTGGACAAGATCGTTGGACCAAAGTACCATGGTCTCTGAGAAAGGATTGAAAGGTGCTGTTAACATATTCCATGGCATTATCAGAGCGAAGAACTTTAATTCTACGGTTAAACTGAGTTTGAACCATGGATGTAAAAGTAGAATAAATGGAAGAAAGTTCAGAACGTTGACGAAATAAATAAATCCAAGTATAGCGACAGTAATCATCAACAAAAATCACAAAATACTTAGATCCTCCCATTGTGTTTGTGGGGGAGGGTCCCCAAACATCAGTATGAACAAGGTCAAATGGTGATGAGGAAACAGAATCACTAAGGCTAAAAAGTAGAGCGGACATAGTACCAGTTTTACAGGGCACACATTGAATGGAAGTAATTGGAACTGGACCTATACTTCCTTGAGAAGCCAAAATACGAAGATTATGGAGGGAGGCATGACCTAAGCGATCATGCCAAACTTGGAGTGACGTAGCAGCAGCAATAGGAGGAGAGGGATAGGATGGGAGATGAAGTGAGGTGAGTTGAAACATGCATCCCACTTTACGGTCGGTCCCAATAACTTGTCCTGTCTGCAGATCCTGTACACGACAACCGGATTTTGAGAAGGTAAGTTCAAGATCAAGGTCACAAAGTTGTCCCACGGAAATAAGGTTGAGAGTAAGGTTGGTGACAAAAAAAAGTATCAGGGATGACCATATCAGAAGTAGAAATAGTGCATATGTGTTTGATTGACATAGAGGATCCATTGGCGGTTTTATACTTGAGGATTGGGGACATGAGCATTTTGAGGTGAAAATAGCAGAGATGGGTGTCATGTGATTACAATAGGCTGTGTCAAGATACCAAGAATCTGTACCTGGAAGAACCGACATCACAGGTGTAGGTCTAGAGTTACCTCGAAGCTAGGTGAGAATGCTTTCGAGGTCACTGAGAGTAAGGGTCGGAGAGGGAGTGGTCGTAGTAGAGCTAGAACACTCGGTGGCAGAGGCAGCAATAGCAGAAGATGATTGAGAACTCTCCTTCTTAGGATTAAGTTTGCCTTTCCGTCATCCGGTTTGAGTGGGCGCGTTGGGCAGTAAGGTAAGATATGACCCCTTTTGTGACAGTACCTACACTCAACTGTAGGACAACGTGCTAAAGTATGAGTTGAACTACAACAGTTCTTGCAGAATTTAGTAGATGATGGAGTAGCTAGGACCATGTCTGTTCGGCGAGATTTTAGCATGCCAAGCCGTGTTTATTCATAGATGAGTTCTGAAATAGCATTCTCAAGAGTAGGTAGAGGACTCCAATGTAAAAGAGATGCTCTAACTGCTTCAAAATCTGGATGAAGAGCCATCAAAAATTGGATGAGACGTAGCTTGTCAAGATGCGTTGTATACTGTTTGGCATCTTCAGGGCACTTCCAAGTTGGCTCGGACTGTGAAATAAGATCTCATATGGCTTGCATTTGGGCAATAGAATCAATGAGTGACTGACCCGGTTCCTGCTTCATCTGATGCAATTGATCCCAAAGTTGATAGTGATAAGCCAAATCAGATGTCACATATCGGGCAACAAGCAGGTCCCAAACTTCTTTAGCTGTGTCAAATCGTCCAAACTGAAGATGAATAGATGGGACAGATGTATTGCGAAACCAGGTGATAATTTGATGATTTTTACTCTCCCAATCATCGAGTCGCTCCAAGAAGGAAACGTCAGATTCATCAGCAGCTTTGGTAGGCTTGGCTATCTCACCGGAAATGTATCGCCATAACTTTCTCCCTTTCAGAAAACTGCGGATGCTTTGGGTCCAAATATGGTAATTGGCACCATTAAGTACAGTGGAGAATGACGAGGATAAATGGTATGGGAAGGAGAATAAATAAAAAAGTGGTTGCTGAGAGTGCAATAAATAAAGAGAGAGGGGTGGAGGTGTTTTTGCAACTTGGAAGCAGATGGGTAAATTTGAGTGGTTGAGAAGGGTTTAGCGGTAGCGGAGAGCCGTTTACAGAGGAAGCAGATAGCGAGCAACTCGTTGGCAAGGGCTCTGAGGAGCAGGTGACATAGTGAAAGCAAGGGAAACCGGTAGCAGAGAGCTGTTTACAGAGGAAGTAGAGAGCGAGCAGCTCGTTGGCAAGGGCTCTGAGGATCAGGCGGCAGGGCGATTTAGCTAGATAAAGAGGCAGGAGATATAAACGGGAAGCTCTGATACCATGTTACAGTTCACAGAGATTGAATTGATTGTCTTGTCTTGAAGGTTTACAATTACAGGTATATATATACATACGTAGGCTAACATACAAAGAAAGACATTAATTACAGAATTTGATAATATTGAGCATATCATATCGTATCTTGTGATGGAGTATGGGCGTGATGAAGGCACAACATGATGCTGATCATGCGTAGGTAATATCTCAATTAACACTTTTAACCTAAACAAACGACATCACATTTCTTGAAACAAGTTTGCTCCACATAAACTTCTCCAACATAAACTCTTCTAGTGAGAAATTAGCAACAAATTAACCAATTAATAACAAGAAACAATAAAATATCATATCCAACAAATCACAAATCTCTAATTAATCAATCAATCAATCATACTAATGAAGCTGGCCTTGCATCTTCCACCGTAACCCTTCGCGCCGGCTTCGACTCCTTCACCGGTGGTCGCGACAACATCCTCCGCGGCGGAGATTGAATTTGATAATTACCATCACCACCAACATCATGATCAACCGGGCCCTCCGCGGTTGAGTTCTGGCAAGGAACCGGCGGCGGCGGTGGAGGCGGCGGAACCTGACACGGCTTCGTCTCAAAACACTTGAAATCCTCACACCTAACCTTCCCCCGCCTAGACTTGAACATCTCACACTGCCACCTCGTCCGCTGGTTCCTCCTCCCTCCCCGCAGACAGTTCCGGCCGTCGCGAAACGCCTCCACCCCCGAACACTCTGGCGCCTCCCCGTCGAAGAAATTATTCGACGCCGTAAAATTCCACAGCTTCGGTAGCGAGCAGATCGCCTCGGGGATCTCCCCGGACAGGAAGTTGTGGTCCAGATTCAAAACCTCCAGATTCTCCAGCTCAGCAAACGAGTCCGGTATGGGCCCCACAAACCTGTTTTTTTTTTACGAGTACGAGGATGCAAAACAGGTGTTGAGAGTATGTATTAAATGAAAGAAAGAGTTTAAAATTCATAAAAGACAAATGAATGATACACAAACTCATCTAAATAAAAACTTCTGAGATCTCAACTAATGATTAGTACGACTTCAAAGAGACCGGAAACCGGATAATGAATAGTATTGAACAATTTTTTTAACGTCTTTCACATCCAACCATAACAATAAAAAAACCTTTTTTTATTTTTAAATAGCATTTCAAAAAAAGCGTAGCTGAAAAATGTATTCGAAAAAGTATTTGAAAAAGAAATGAATATTAGGCAGAGCTGAAAACATTTTTCATTGGGGAAATCTCTTTCTACTACTGATTCAAGTTGGAGGGATCCCATCCCACAAACCTGTTGTTACTGGCGTCGAAAACCGTGAGGTTGGTCATCATCCCGATCTCCGCCGGCAAACAGGCCTCTATCCCGTTGTCCATGAGGATCAGCTCCCGCAGCGTGGCCGACATGTTTTTGAAGCTGGGTGGCAGGCAGCCCCGGAAATTATTCCCGGCGAGCACCATCGCTGACGCGGGGGAGCTCCCGATGTTGGGCGGCAGCTGGGACTGGAAGCGGTTGTGGTTCAAGAAAATGGCGTCCAGGTGCTTGTCGAAAAGCCTCGAGGGGATCCTTCCCTCGAACTCGTTGTACCGGATGTCGAGGTACTTCAGCCCGGGGATGTTGAGGACCGCGGAGGGGAACCGCCCGGCGAACCGGTTGTTGCTGAGGTCGAGCTCGTAGAGGAGCTTCATTTTTTTGAACGTCTGGGGCACCGTGCCGCAGAACCGGTTGGTGTTGAGGTGGATAAGGGCCAGGTCGGCGAGGAGGCCCAACTCGTCAACGAGCTGGCCCGCGATGTCGGCGTGGTTGAGGTCGATCCCGGCGACGGTTTGGATCGAGGTGTTGTCCGGGGCCGGGAAGCAGAAGATGCCGGTGTAGTTGCACACGTCCGGTCCGACCCAGTTGGCGGTTCGGTTGTACGGGTCGGATAGGATGGTTTGTTTCCAGGTTTGGAGGGCGAAGTAGGCTGTTTCCAGCCGGGGGTTCTCGAATTTCAACGTGTAGGATGGTGACGGCGGCGGGTCGGAGTCGTGGGTGTGGTGGCGGACGATCCATTTTGAGGATTGTCGGAGAGGTGGGTTTGGATCTGGTGCCGCTGCGGCACAGGTTAAAAGCAAGTGGAAGAGAAGGAGATGGGTTTTGTACTTGATCACCATGATTTTTGCAGGTAAAAACTCATTCGTGCAAATTGCTTATTGATGAGTTGGTTTGCGCTTTGTTATTTACTTATTACTGATTTACTGTGAGTAAAATTGTTAGTTTGGTGGGGGAGTTGAGGGAGGAGTGAATATAATATAAGGCTACGCTACGCTACGTATATGTGCATGTGCATGTAAAAATGCGTACTGTACGTACTGATTTTTGACTGAGCTTTTATTTGTTTTTTTGCGGTGGAAAGGAGGCCGATTTGAGGGGAACGTGGTCTGCGCATTTTGTTCAACGTGTTTTTCTCTTTTACTTCTTTGCTTGGTCTAAGGCTTTACACTTGGATTCTTGTTATGGTGCTTCCTTTTCTCTGCTGTAATTTTGTTTTTATCTTTCGTTTTATATGTATTTTTTTATTATTATTATTATTTAGCTAGTTCAGAATAGGGATGACAATGAAATGGATAGCGTACTCTTCCTGTTCACCATAAACACCATCAATCTCGTTAAACCACAAAGTTTATGAAAATTTAAGAAGAAAATTAAATACTATAACGCGAATAAAGACCATCCAATTATAATTAATAAATTTTTTGAATGGATAATAATGTATTTCTGTTTCATCTTCTTCATCCAATATCTGTTGTCACCATAATTATCAGTTGAATTTGGTAAAATTTTGTATTATTTATTATATGAGATAATTGGAATGATTTGAAATTATTTAGGATTAGTGATAAATTTGGTGTTAAATTGTTATATAATTTATATGTCTTTGATTTTGAAACTTTCTAAATTTATATGACTTTGTTAAATTGTTATATTATTTAATCAACATACCGTTTGATTTTGAAACCAATACATTTGAGCCTAAGAAAATGTGAAGAATTCAAACTTTTTAAATTTTAGGGTGTGCCTACGGTGACATGCATGTCACGGTGACTTGCACTTTCCGGTCGACCTCAGTTAGCATTAGGTCGACCTCACATAGAATTCGGTCGACCTCATATAGGATCCGGTCGACCTCATTTAGGATTCGGTCGACCTCATATAGGATCCGGTCGACCTAATATGTTGTTTCAGTGTAAAAACAGTTCATGGTGCCTACTTTGGATATTCATATCATACAATTAGCTAGATGGAAACTGAAGACTAATGACTTGTTATGAAGCTGGAGTGTCCCTCTACATATTGAAGTGATTGAGAGCTCGATAGGAAGTCCAGAAGACCATTTTTGAACCTCATCAAAAGGCTATACCAAAACTGGGAAACTGCCTAGAAATGGCCAAGTCTGGAAACGTGTTTGTGAAGCCAATTTTTGGAGCTCAATTCGAGAAGCATGAATGCGAGTCGAGTCCAGGAGCCTCTACCACGTTAAATTAGGTATGTTTTTATACAAATTCAAGGAATTGGATGAAAGATTGGATATCTTTAAGGCTTCAAACAAAAGGGTCGAAGTTGCTACGAAGGCTGTTTTTCTGGCAGACTTCGAGCACAAGCAAGCTGCCAGAAAAACAGGCTTCGTAGCAACTTCGAGCCTTTTGTTTGAAGCCTTAAAGATATTCAATCTTTCATTCAATGCCTTGCCTTTGTATAAAAAAATACGTAATTTAACGTGGTAAAGGCCCCTGGAATTGACTCGCATCCATGCTTGTCAAATTGAGCTCCAAAGTAGGCTTGACAAACACGTTGCCAGACTTAGCCATTTTCAGGCAGTTTCCCAGTTTTGGCATAGCCTTTTGGTCAGGTTCAAAAATGGTCTTCTGGACTTTCTATTGAGCTCCCAAGTACTTTAATGTGTAGAGGGACACTTCAGCTTCAAAACAAGCCTTTAATCTCCAATTTCCATCTAGCCAATTGTAAGATATGAATCTCCAAAGTAGGCACCATGAAACTGTTTGTACACTGAAACAACTGATTAGGTCGACCTGATCCTATATGAGGTCGACCGAAAAGTGCATGTCACCGTGACATGCATGTCACCGTAGCAAAGTCCTAAATTTTAAACTAGATAATAAAATAAAGGATTAATATTATTTTACACCAAGTTAACAAACATGTTATTTTACTATTTTTCTCACAAATGTATTCCTACATCAAAAATACCCTACAAGTTGACAAATATACCCCTACATCAAATTTTTTGTCAAAGTGACCTATTAAGGAGTGGAAAATGATTAAATTTCCCCTCAAAAAATTTTTATTTCTCTCTTTTTCAACCGAATAAAAATGAGGTGAGAAATAGTAAATACTCCAATAATATATAGTAGAGTTTGTCTACTTTTCTCTATTTCAAATTTCCTGCAACGAGAGTGAAAATAGGAAGAACATTTCTGTCTTTACAATTAATTAATTATTCCATATAAAAAATCTCAATATCAGGATTTGAACTCGAATATCTTCAAACAAAGACAACAATTACAACCAATCACGCTAAGCAAGTTTGTTGTATCTTTTTTAATACAAAACATACACGAAGTACTATGAAAATCAGTGGACTTTTCCATCGTGATTAGCAAGCCCACCAAGTCTACCGTATGTATTTTTATTGTGTTTGATACTTCAATTTTCATAGCAGAGTTTCATGTAGTTTCTCAATTCTAAAATTACTGCTCTCTCCTTAATTTTCGCTAAAGGTATATTGGTAATTGGCTAACACGGAAGAAACTAATTCTTTTACTACGTATTGTGTGCTTGCAGTTTTCAATTTATATTTAAATTTAGTACTTTTTTATCTTTTTTCTTATCTCTTTCTAACTTCCTCCCAAATTCCCACCATCGTGCAATAGTTTGCGCCCATTTCACTTTGCAATACAAGGCTGCCTTTGAAAATCAATCTTCCGATATCTCTTGGCACTACGATTTTATATTTTTATTCTTGAGGATATAAACTGGGCAAGTAGAAGATTTCAACTTCGATATCAATCCATGGTGAATAGAATGGACTATGGAGTTTAATAAATGGAGTTGTAGAAGGAGGATTAGAAATTGAATATGTGGTTGAAACATACATACGCCTCTTGAGATTGAAGATAGAGTGGATAAAATTTTTATTGTACAACGGAGAGTGGTGGCTATTGGATCTTTAGGTTTATGGCTTTGCAGCTATCGCAACCTAATTCTATCTTAAAACGAAGAATCATTGATTGATTTACTGAAGTAGGTTGATTGATTCTTTATTCAACCTACTGGAACTAATAAAGAAGGAGTGTCTAATTTTGTTCCTTATTACTTTGATCGAGTCTATTAGTATATTGGAGGTACCCTAATTTTGGCATTTGCTCTCAAGTTTTGATGGTCCCCTCTTAGCCGAGTTGTTAGTATATAGTTGACTTGAATCAACAACTCTCCATTTAGTTTCAAACTATCTATGGTTCGTGTGGAAATTTTAGTGAGCTTTTATAGTCTATCTTTCTTGACAATCAACTAACCAATAGCATTTTATCGGGGATGTAATTATCATTATGAAAATGTGATCAATGATAAATTTTTATATTTATATTCTTAAACGATGATAATATTTCTCCAAATTTTCGACCTATATATTCTTTCTTTACATATCATCTCGATCGAATGATTGTCAATAAAATTAAACGGGTTGATAAACTTAAATATAAGATGAAAATACAAATAATAAATATGAATATTCTGGCGAGCGAGACGGTTATAAGCTAGTTAATTAAATAAACTAGATTTAAAATCTAAAAAAAAGGAAATAATTTAAATTTTCAATTCACTCATAATTCAACCTAGCCCATTTCGGCAAGGATTTTTATGACAAAACAAAACAAAACAAACCTTAGCCCATTTCCGGCCCAATTGACCATTTGACACCCTCTCCTTTCGACTCTATCTGACGCCTAATCCAACTAGGGCTGGGAAAATAGACCAGACCGTTAGAAAAATCGTGGTCCAAACCGTACTGCACAGTTTGGTCCGGACCGTAGACCGTGAAGTATGGTCTGGTCTGGTCCATGGTCTGTATTATTTTATGATTTGATCTCTTGGTCTGGTCTAGACCGCGGTTTACCGGACCAAACCGTAGACCCAACTGACTTGTCAATACGTGTTAACAGCCCATTCGACCACTCTCCAAACTCCCACAACGACACACAAGTCTCAACCTTAATTTTGTGAATCTCCTCCCTCCTTCATTCACAACCACATTTAACCACAGAGTAGAGATAATCGTGTCTCCATATGACATTATGTTAATGTTTATGACATTATGGTGCAAGCTGGGATGCTTTTACTTTGTATCTTTGTTATGTACTAAGATTTAGAGTATCAAAATTATTCATACATGTTAGGATTAATGTTTTAAGGCAAATAACAATTATTTTTCTTGGTTATTGGTTCAATTTTTTGTGTGGTTGAATAAATAAATGGCTAAATTACACGTTTGGTCACTCAAATTATATAAATCTTTCACGTTTGCCACCCGAATTACTTTTCTTTCTTATTCGCCACTAACTTTACGAATCGTTTCACCGTAGCCACCCGCCGTCCAATTCCGTTAAAATCATCCTACGTGGCAGTCAACCAAAGCCTTTGACCGTTAGTTTTGATGACGTGGCAATTAAAAAATAATATAAAAATAAAAAATAAAATCATTTTTATATTATTTCCAACCTTGCCATTCTATACTTCGTTTCTTTTCCAGATCTGGTCCTCCAACCACCTCCCAGCTGCTTGGGTTTCTACTTCACAAGAATCTTTCCTGCAAATTGCCCCTACCGAAGCCTTTCGCTCGCCGGATTTTCGTATTGCATGCTGTGCCGCGTGGCTGTGTATATAAATAGCTAAACCTCCCTTAAACCCCATCGTCTTCTCCAAGCAAAAGCAAAAACCCCCCTTTCTCAATTCTTTCTCACAATCACTACTCCGAAGAATTAGCGAAAACTTCCTCCAACAATTCTCTCTCTAGAATTACTGCCGAGCTTTCTTTCTGGTGTTCGATCGGTGATATCAACGGCGACGATGATGTATACGATGGGCCGCGGTGGAGCCAGCAGGCTGGGTGTGGCTGCTCTGGCGCTGCGCAATTTATCCTCGGCGACTGGCGGAGGAGCAGGCGTCGTCGCTCGGCGAGCTGCCTCGGCCGGGATCGCGAGCGGCGGGGCGCAGGCTCCGATTGCGGTCAGGGTTTGGATTAGAGGCATGGCGACGACCACCGGCGGTGACCGGTTAAAAATGATTTTATTTTTTATTATTTTTATATTATTTTTAATTGCCACGTCATCAAAACTAACGGTCAAAGGCTTTGGTTGACTGCCACGTAGGATGATTTTAACGGAATTGGACGGCGGGTGGCTACGGTGAAACGATTCGTAAAGTTAGTGGCGAATAAGAAAGAGAAGTAATTCGGGTGGCAAACGTGAAAGATTTATATAATTTGAGTGACCAAACGTGTAATTTAGCCATAAATAAATTATTCATTTTTCGTTGAGTATGGTCTATCTGGACCAGACCAGACCGAACCAGACCGCACAGGCGTGGTCTGGACCGGACCGTATAGTCTGTGGTCTGGTCTGTGGTCTATACTTTAACCTCTCGGTCTGGACCATAGACCGTATATATGGTCTGGTCTGGACCAGACCGCACCGTTTTCCAGCCCTAAATCCAACGATCATAACACGGGGCTCAGCAAATATGGCATGGAACCGGACGCAGAGCATTCCTCTTCCCAAAGATATTTTGTGCAAAATCAGATAAGCGCTGACGCGCACTGCAGTCTTATCCCACCGCCACCTGTCTCGAAGCATGGGCCGCCCAAGCAAGCAAGCGAGTGGTTCTCGTCTTCAACTTTGCATCATTTTCATAAAAAACGCGCCGAATTTCGAACCCTCTGGAATCTCGCCATCCGGCATATAAAAATCTGGCTCTTCCGATCTGATAATTTCGCGACCAAGCAAACTCTGATCGGAAAATCTTTAGACTACCGGAGCTCTGAGGGAATCAGTTTTAAGCGGTTTAAAGGAAAATACGATTCCGACCGCCGTGCGTCCAGCCTCCTTCAATTCGCCAGGATCGAAAGTTCGTCGTTTCTGCGAATTGTAGCTATAAATTTCGTGCTCTCTGCTTTATCTCTTTCCTTTTCTCCCGGCTCTGTCCGCTTGTTGTCCTTGATTGTAGGCTAGTTCTGTGCGGCGTTGGTGATAGGTAACGTGTCGGTGACTTGCTGATTTGTTTTTTCCTGCTCGCTAACATCGTTTGGCTTGGTAGCTTAGATGGTATGGCGAATTTGTTGAAACGACTGGTTTCGGTTTCCGCTTGCTTGCTGTCTGATACTGCTAATGGTGAATTTATGTTATGGGTGGCCGGGCCGGAAATGTATCTTCCGGTCTTTGCTATACTTGTTGAGTTGATTGAGTAATGCTAACATGTGATTGTGTGAAGTGACGTATGGGGGAATCCAAGTTAATACTGCAGCACTGAGTGCCTTAGAGGATCATTACCTGATCTTGAGCCTGTAGTGATAGATTTTTGTTACTAGTCTCTTGTAGAATCGATCCCTGAAACGTACCAGTCCTTGACACAGTCTGGTAGGCTTTCGTTCTTGAAATTTAAGTTAACTTAATTGTACATCCCCTTCATCTGCGCTCCTCCGTAGAAGGAATTGCCAATTTAGGAGTGTTGATCAGTCATTCAGTTCCCTTCTTTCTCAGGTGCTTACTGATAACTTCTGTTGAGATTGGAGTCCAATTAAGCTGGCGAGTAGCTTTGTGAAGTTTTAGGTCTAATTCTAGGAAATGGACGAGTTGTTCCAGGGTGCGATGTTAGGCCAAGTGATTATGTAGTAAGTCATTAGGTAGCATCTCTCAAGTTGGGTCTTCAAACATTGCTCAAGAATGAATGTGCTTCTCTATACCCGACTTTGGAAATGTGAGCGCCAGAAGCATGGATTGGTTTCCTGGTGATGAGCAATGCTGTGTTTATGAGAGAACCAGAAGGGACGGCGACCTTCGAATGTCAGGCTTAACAAATGGTGGTAACTTCTTCCTCGAATCTGGGTTGCCATCTTTTCAACCTGACAGCCCAAAACAACTTCTATATGTTTGTCTTCCCATCTTCCCTTCTTGTATCCAAGAATCAAGCTGGTCCAAGGTTCATGGACTTTGCCGCCGCTGTTAGCTAGTAGTGTCCAAATTACAGCTCAAGCTTCTGAATTCTTGTACTGTTCTTCCGAGTATGTAGATGCTGCAACAATGTGATGAAGCTGGTATTTAAAGGGAACGAGGCTTTTGTTTGCTGTCGACCATGGAGTCTGATCTACCTTCACGAAACTCAATTTATTATGTATCGGTTTCCTACGGTCAATTGGACAGAACGGAGGCCTCTGTTCCCGAAACATGAACTTTTTTAGTTTTGGGTAAGTTCATGTCAGAAGAGACTTGAATCTGAGTTGCTGGCCGAGGTAGGCCTATCCATGATAGACAAAATTTCCGTATTTCTACAGTCAAAATTTCTTTCTGTCCTTCTGAGAACACATTTGACTGGGTGATACTCCCTTTTACGATAGGTTCTTCATTCGTGGATCTGTTGGTCATGTCCAGAATAGTTGGACTTTTGTTCTGGGACTTCTTCTTCAAGGAATCAAGTGGTTATGAAACTCTTTATCCGTATTGGAGTTTCTCAGTGCTGCATGAGTTGTTGTATGGGACCTTGTAGCTCTTGTTTGGATAATTCTTCTATTGGCGCATTGCCACTTCCAGTGTGGAGCTGTGCAGCATTAGTTGGATAATGCGCTTGCTAAATTTTCAATATGTCTGCAGCAGTGTAGAAGAAACCAAAGATCTGCTATGCTGTTCCGGTGGCTTGACCAGGTCTGTGGCTTGTGAGGTTTTGGAAACGTTTCTAAACAGCTTTCCATATGCAGGTGCTGTAGCTACCTGGCTGCTTCTAGATATCCATCATTGTCTTGATAAGATGGGAGAGGCAGAAATTATGAGTCTTGGCTTTGATAACATAAAAATCAGGAGTCTGTTGGCTCAGAAAAAGAATCAGGAGACTATTAGCTCAAATTTTCAGCAGCTGAATGGCGAATGCGAGTCAAAAGACAGAATGACTACTGACATGCTTGAGAAGGGGTTAATGGAGTATGGGTATGTCCATTCTTTATTAGCAACGCCACTTGTTAGTAGATTCTGGCTGTTCCTTCCTAATACGACATGCTCTTCTTTGCAGATGCCCTCATTATCGTCGAAGGTGTCGCATTAGAGCTCCTTGTTGCAATGAAGTTTTCACTTGCCGTCATTGTCATAATGAAGCAATAGTGAGTAGGAACTTTGTATCATCCTATGTGTAGGGGTGGCAATTTGTTCATCGTCCATGATCTTGTTGAATGTTTCTTTTAGCCTCATTGTTCACTTATCTGTCTGAGTGATTGAAAATGATGGAAAAAAGAGGTTGGGTTTGAAGATGGGAGGATACAGGATGAAAAAGAAAATAATCAACTCTGGCTGTTTGTTTTCTGTGAAAGTGTTAGATTGCTGCTGGTGACCAAATATACTTGTTATTTGTGATTATAGTAATCTGCATCATGCTGTTCTTGTGAATCTTAGAGGCAACGATGATCAGTGATACATTATTCGTCCCTAGGAACTGAATTCAGATTTCTTTGCAGAACGACATTAACGTTGATCAGAAACTGAGGCATGACATGCCACGGCATGAAGTTAGACAGGTACAAGACCTGAGATTTTGCTTCATTGACTATTCTGCTGAATTTTTTTACTGATTTGGTTATTCCAGTCAGTGTGCTATGCTTGTATCCATTCTGATCAGGCCTCCCTGGTCTGGTTTTTCAGGTGATATGCTCACTTTGTGGCACGGAGCAGGAGGTATGTCAACTTGTTTTCTATAATTTGTTCCCAAGTACCTATGTCAGGGGTTAAGGACAAAATAGTTAAGGGACTCCATTGTATTTGTCATGGTATGATCTTATGGTTCGACTCTATCATCTGTCTGCCTGGCTATTCATTTGTTACTTGCTATTATATTGTCAGGCTCAACAAGTTTGTAGGAACTGTGGTGTATGCATGGGGAAATACTATTGTGAAACCTGCAAGCTGTTTGATGATGATGTAAGTGATGACTCTCAATCCAGTTTTGCATCTTCGTATACAAGTGAGATTGAGCAGTATGCTTGAGGCTTCATTTGTGTATCTAAGCTCGTTAAATACCATTATGTAGCAGTGCAATTACTCCCAAATTTTTGTTGTGGGAAATTTGCACCTAAATTTCTACTTGTTGAGGTACCACCGGATGCATCCACGCTGATTGAATGTTAATGAACATTGTTTAGCAGATATCAAAGAGACAATATCATTGTGATGGCTGTGGGATATGCAGGTATGGTCTTTTTGTTCTCTTATTGTTAGTTTGTTACTATAGTGGAGGCAGTTTAGTTTTGAAATTTGCTGATCTAGCAAGTTCAATTTGGTGTGTTGCTCTTGCTCACCTTTAGAAATTTAGGGGACAAAGTGGATCTAGATCTCCTGGTTGGCATTGGAAGTGCAACGTGTTTAGTAGTACAGTCTGTTTTCTCTGATGTCTTAGTACGTAGTTGAGCTTTTAAGTTTTAACCTGCATGCTATATTTTGTATCCAGAAAGAAAATACTCTGTTTGTCATCCCTCTATCATTGAAGCCTTTAGTTTAATCAACTCTTCATCTTATGAATGAACCAACTTCCCCTCCCGAATTAACTGTGTGGTCTTATTTCTCCTCATTGTTTGTGGTGTGCTTTCTCCATCCTTTATTCTGACCTGCTTTGATGGCCATGTTGTGCAGAATCGGAGGACGTGGAAATTTCTTCCACTGCGACAAGTGTGGTAAGCTACTTCTCTTGTTAAACTTAAATGAGGAATTGATTGAATGAATTGTCAGCTGACTACTTATTTATCTTCGCTATACGTGCAAAAGGCTGTTGCTACTCTATCCACCTGAGAAACAGTCACCCTTGTGTGGAGGGCGCAATGCATCATGATTGCCCTGTGTGTTTCGAGGTATGGGAGTGCCTCTCTTTCTTTGTGCATGTGTTCTTTCTTGTTTGCAGTTCCTTAACTGCTATTGTTGTTGAATGTTTTATCCGTTTGCAGTACTTATTCGAGTCTAGACAGGATGTAACTGTCCTGCCTTGTGGACATACAATTCATCAAGGCTGCCTGAAGGAGATGCAGGAACATTATCAGTATGCCTGCCCTTTGTGTTCAAAGTCAGTTTGTGACATGTCCAAGGTGTGGGAAAAATTCGACATGGAAATCGCGGCTACCCCAATGCCGGGACCTTACCAGGGCAAAATGGTCCATTTCCAGAACTCTAGTCCTTACCACTCCCCACTTAGGCACGTACCCTTCTGTTTCTCTCTTATATTTTTTTTTTCTTTTGCCTGGCAGGTTCGGATACTCTGTAACGATTGTGGCAGAACCTCCCAAGTGCAGTTCCATATCGTGGCTCAGAAATGCACGCATTGCAAATCCTACAACACTCGCCAAACAAGAAGCTGAAGCAAGATGTATGCCATGCATCACTTAATCGATACGAAAATGAGGCTGCTGGCTGTGATTTATCATAATCTTGGTCCTTCCTGCCGACTGCAGTTTCCACCTGGCCTGGAGCCATGATCTCTCTACTTGGAGATGGAGCTCATTGTGATGAACCTCGCCTCCTCCCCCCTCTCTCAGCTTACACTATTATTTTTCTCGCTCTGTTCATCTTTCATTCCGATAAGTCGTTATTTGTAATTCTGTATGTCGTTTGCTGGGTCTCTACTCCATATGTTTGTCAAATGTCCAGAATTGTTGGGGTGCTTCAATTCTTCAGGGCATGAAGTGACGGTGGAACTGTAATGGGTAATGGATTTTCTCAGCATGATTTGTTGTAGTTGTTGTTGTTATGGGATACCTATGGTTATGGATGCGTATTGCCTCTTTTGAGTGGAGTTGTGCAGCAAAGATATGCTACACTGTTTCCGTGGCTTATGACTGTTATGAAAGGTCCATTGTGGTCGGCTTGGATGAAAAAATTAGGGTTAATTGCATAGTTGGTCACTGAGATTACAAAAAACGTTCATGTTTGGTCACTGAAAATATTTAAATTCAATCTTGGTCACTCAAATTAGTTAAATGTTTCAAGTTTGGTCACTCTCCGTCCAACTCTGTTAAATTTGTCTGATGTGGCAGTCAATCCTCAAAGTTAACCGTTAACTCGATGATGTGGCAATTAAAAAATAATAAATAAAATAAATTTTAATTTTATACCATTTCCAACTCATTTTCATAATAAAGTAAAATAAAAAATTTTATTATAATCACAAATTGAAAGAGTAGCTTCCTCCGCCATCACATCCTTCCCGCAACCAAATCAGCTCCCAATTCCTCTGTCGCCAGCAGCGGGTGGAACTAGGATAAATGGCAGAGTTTTTGGGCGTACGCAGGGTAATAAGGGGACTGAACGCCAAAAGCGTCGCCGGCGTTAGCGAGGCAGAAGGTGATGAGCTCGTTGGCTTCCGTCGCGCCGCTGCCCATCACGATCCTCTCCGGATCGAACCTCGCCTTCTTCCCCCTCGCTCGCTCCATAAACCGCGCATGTCTCCATTTAAATCTCCCTCTTGTGAACCATTTGGGTCGTCTTTCTATCTACCACCAGCCCTTCTTTCCTTCCCCGCTCTATACTTTCATGGCTGCCTTGCCCATTTATGTTGTAAAGCCCAGATCTTGAGTTGTTTCAGAACACTCCTGGGGAAAAGATGAGATGGGTTCTCAGATTTTGGTTGTGCTTTTCTGTGTCCTAAGCTGTAGCTTTGTTTTGGTGTACTCACAAGGCGGGAATAATAACAATAATGACACTGCTAGTGTTCATGAACGTATGTTATAATGATGCCGCATGCAGCTTTGTCTTAATATGATTCGAGATTGGATCGAGAAGAACCACAGGCTTCCATTTGTACACCGGAGGGGCTTCACTTGTTCAAAGCATAGACCAGGAAACCGGATCGTACCGGCCGGTTCAACCGGAAATTGGACCAAAAGCGGCACGGTAGGCTGATTGTGCTGATTTTACCGTACCGACCGGTTTTTTCGGTTTGACCGGTACAAAAAGAAAAACCGCCCGGTTTTGGTTTAACCGGCGGTAGCCTTATTGAAAGAATACGTCCCCGTTTTAAGCAATAAAATTTAAAAAAAAAAATTTCGGCATTCAACAGCGCAAAAACACAAAACCTAATCCAAAATGTATTTTCCTTCTTCCCGTGTTCCCCATCCCCGCCGCTCCTCTTCTCCACTCCCTCTGGTGACTGGCGGCCCGCGCATCGGCCCGAGGAAAGAAGCAACCCGCGACGGCGAAAGGTCGAGCCGATCCCCGCTCCGCTCCTCCGTCGTTCCTCTTCTCTTCTTATTTGGCGACCCACGACCGGCGAGTCGAGTCGTCCCTGCTCCGCTCCGCCGCTCCTTCCTCTCCTCCTCAGCCGCTCCGACCGTGCTCGAGTCTCCCAAAGCCAGCGATAGTCAATTAATTATTAGTATAATAATGCCGCGAGTATACTTAAGGGGACAGCAAAGAATAAGATTGACAAGTTTTCAAAAACAGAGATGGCAGAAAATCGATATTCACTTAGCTCTGCAATTGGGCTTGAAACCCTTCTCTGATGCCCAAAATTACACATGCAAAGAAGAAAAAACTAGAACTGATCTTTGTGAATATCGATTTTTGAAATAGCTTCCGTTGATCATTTGACCGAGACTAATAGCTAAGTGAAAGGGGAATACTCGGAATTTTGGCTGGAAGTGGCGAGAGGCTTATTCCCTCTGCTCCGTTCACCTTATTCTTCTTCTGGGTATGTAATGCAAGAGCGGGTAGGTGGGGTTATTAGACTGATAGAGAGCAGGCAAATGAGCTGGAGTCAAGAAATACAAGGGAAGTCAAGAGGTTGAGGTGTATTTCTTGCATGTAACTAAGATACCACGTGTATAACCAAAAAAAATTGTGCATACTACCTACTAACTAAGTGAACTTGCTTTTTGTTACTCAATATTCAAATTATTCTTTTAATTTTTCTCATCTTGACATAAGCACCATCGATATTTTTTTTTTGGATGAAATGATGAATGAATTTTTTTTTTACAAGAAATGATGAATGAATTTAGTTTGTGTTGATGCCATAGAACTTTGTACCTCCTTTCCAAGTTAGCTAAAAAAAATTATGCTTACCTCATTAATTAATGAGATTTTGATATTTACTATAAAATTTATTCCAAAAAATTTCCCGAGCAAAGCGCGGGCCAATTAACTAGTCTGATTAATTAGGTAAGGAATGACTATTGCTCTATGTTGAAAATGGGTCTCCGTGGTTGTATAATGCTCTATTTGGTTTTTGGTTGGTCCTGAATGAGATGAATTACATCTCTCTAATCTGTTCCTCTTTTTGGTGGCAATATTTGGTGAAGGCAGAAATATGGCTTTTTTGAACGATAATGTAGTTTATTCAGTATGTTACACTTTGTTGATTGTTACAGTATGTTCCTCTTTTGGATACTTTATTATTTTATATCCGGTATATTCGATATTATTCCGGTTTTACTCCGGAACGGTACTCTGATTTTGCCGACACGGTTTTTTGACAAAAAATATATTTTATTATTACAAAAACGGTATTTACCGGTACAAAACGGTTGAACCACGGTCGTACCACAAAATACCATACCAGAAAGGAATCCGGTATGATGTCCGGTACGGTTTCCTTTACCATGGTTCAAAGATGTGGCCCTCTTTCAGGATTATCATGGCCTCCCACGCTTCAGACAGGTACGACAAAAATTTATGCCCCCCTACTAAATCTACTTACGATGACGAATTACTGGGATGGATTTGTTTGCAGGCGGTTGCGCGGATTATGGAGCGAGCGAGGGGGAAGAAGGTCAGGTTCGATCCGGATCAGGATGTGATGGGCGGCGGCGCGACGGGAGCCAACGAGCTCATCACCTTCTGCCTCGCTAATGCTGGTGACTGTTGGGCCAAATATTGAGGCACAAGGGCCCCAAGCCCACAGAGTCACCAAAAGCCCATGTAAGGGAAGGCCCACCCGAGCAGGGGCAAAAGCACCATTCGAAGGCGGTCCTCCCCTGCCTTCGGATGAAACCGCCAGACATCCGAGCCTGCCTAAGGCAGATGACCGCCCGACAATACGGTCTAATGGACTTCTGTCCTTCAGGTACGGAGTCTGACAAGAGACACGACCAGAATAAGCATTTAATGAAGGCAGAGGCGACCCCGAACGCCCGACAAGCTATTAAATGCGCACAACACCATCAGAACTAGTATAAATACCCAATGATAGGGCTCATTTATGGTAACTTCGACCAACTCCATTCTCTCTCTTATTTACTCACACTTCACTTCTCTCTCTAACTTAAGCATCGAAGGAGGTCCCAGGAACCCCCTGAGGACCTTTCTGCAGGGTTTCGGAGACCGCCCCCGACCATCGAAGCCGCCCAAGGCCAGTGGAGTCTCACCAACCGCTTGGAACATTCCAAGCACTAACATTTTGGCGCCCACCGTGGGGCACTACTGCTTTGTGGCGAACGAGATCGGAGACGACTTCGAAACCCCCCTCAAGGGGATGACCGAAAACAACACCCTCCGAGGCCTATCACCGAGGATCGAAGATGAACCCGAGCTGGAAGAAGTGGTCAAGAACCAAGGGAGGCAAATTGCGAACATGCAAGAAAGCCTCTCCCAAATTCTCCAGCTCCTGAAGACCCGAGATGACCCTGCCGAGGGATCGAGGGGGAGGACGCGCGACGAGAAGCTGAAAGGCGCTCTCATCCTCGACAGCCCTGCTCAGACAGAAGGCGGAGGACCAGAGGCTGATGACCTGAACCTCAACTTTCTAGAAGAGCATTTGCGGTCAACCTTCGGGAAGCACAAGAGCCCGAACGTTCTACAAAACCCCCTATCGAGAGAACTCTTCAAGACTCCGGTCCCCCCAAACTTCTCCTCTCTGGGACTACCTACTTACGGCGGAACATCCGATCCCGCCGACCATCTTTGCGCGTTTATGTTAAAGATGCAACTCATCAACGCAACAGACTCATATCTGTGTCGCGCGTTCCCGGTTACCTTCAGCGGCCAATGCCGAACATGGTACACCTCCATACCAGAAGGGATTATAGAAAAATTTGAGCAGTTTGCGATGCTCTTCTCAATCAAATTCGCGTCCCAACGACGTCGCAAACTCACCGTCTCGGCGCTCATAGGTTGCCGACAGAGGAAGGAAGAGTCGCTTGCTGAGTTCTAGGACAGATGGAACGCGATAGCTTGCGAAGTAGACGGCATCTCCCCAGTCGTGGCCGCCGGGAACCTCCGAATCTCGACGACTAGTCTCAAGTTGAAAAGAACGTTGATAAAAAAGGAAGCGACCCTGGCGGCCGGGTCTGACTTAGATCAATTGGTACGCCGAGCGATCTTATTGGAGGAAGCGCTAGCCAACGACGACCGAGGACAGCAAGGCCGCCCCCGCGGAGACGCCTCAGAGCGTGGAGACGCCCGGAGGGGAAGGCGGTCCCCAGACCGAAGGTCATACCGAAATAGATACACAGATCGAGAAGGAAGAAGGGACGTCCTTTCCACCGACAGGGAAAGGGGAAGAGATCGAAGGAAAGGCAGAAGGAAGCATGAGACGTCTTCCGTCCATGAACCGCAGGAAGGGAAAAAGTGGTGCGACTGTCACCAAATCACAACCCATGACACCACAGAGTGTAGAGAGTTCAAGGCCACGCTCCGGCATCTGGCCCCCGGGAGACCTACGAAGCAAGCTAGAAATGAGGCGGTCCCACAGAGAACACTCAACAGAAGAGCGGGAGGAGTCCCCGAGTCCCGAGTTGGACAAGACAAGACGCACAAGAAAGGATAGGTCAAGATCCCGCTCTCGAAACAAAGCCGCCTCTCTGCCGAGGCAGTCTCCTCCCTACAGAGCACCACGAAATGACGATGATGGAATGGAAGTCATAACGATCGCAGGAGGGCGAAAACGCCCAAGAACCGAA